AAAAAAAAAAAAAAAAAAAAATCATTGTTGACTGACAAGCCTAGGGTAAAGAAAAATAATAATAATCATTGAGTAAATGAGTTCTATAAACTGGCATATGATAATTACAATAATGGAAATGATATGAGGATATTGATGAATGTGTAACCAAATGGTCAACTATAAACTTGGTATTTGTTTTTACAATTAAAGTAATCCTTCCAGAATGTTGCCATTCTGTAGCAGACCCATAGTTGTTCGAGTCTAAAAGCTCATACCTCTGCCAGCCTCAGATATAGTTCATGGCTATTTTTGGAAACTACTTTTAATCCTATCAGGCAGCTTGCCATAGGAAAAAAATTTCAATCACAGTTTCTACCTTCTGCGCTATAGCCTGTGTGACTATAGACACATTAATTTTCTGGATCTCAGTTTACCCGTCTTAGAGCATAAGGATCATACTCAAGAATCTTGTGGAGATTAAATGAGATAATACATGCAAAGTACTTGTAGCACTGCCTGGTTTGGAGTAAAGGGCTCAAAAGAGGAAATTATTTTCTTTCTTCCTGATAGGTCTCACTAGATATGTTCTATTATGGTATATCCCAGACTCAGACTAGCTCAGGGAACATGTAAACAAGTATCAGTCCCTTTGATAATAGCTCTAGATGATTTGCAAAATCAAAATATATTCCATCTAAAGGATATGTACCCCCATTCTCTTGATGATAGTCATTAATCAAAGTAAGCCACTGTTAATAATTTAAGTGATCTATCCCTCATGTGTTCTGAAGCAGAAAAAAGATGAAGACCACTGCTTTAGCTAATAGAGACTCGAAGGGCAGAATTTAAACAGTAGTTTTGTATTTTGTATGAGGCCTAGAAATCTCAATTTTAAAGAATTCCTTAGGCAGTTCTGATGTAATTAGGCAAGCGCCAGTCTGCCTTTAAAATCTGATGTTATATGGCTTATATACCAAGAATTCCTTGATCCTCTTAGGATTTGACCAATCCTAGTATTTTGAGAATATAAGAAGAACCTGCAGCACATTCTTGGATAAGAAATAGTTTGTGTGTTTTAATCTTTAGGTTGATTGCACTGCCAACACTAACACCTGTAATAAATATGGAGTCAGTGGATATCCAACCCTGAAGATATTTAGAGATGGTGAAGAAGCAGGTGCTTATGATGGACCTAGGACTGCTGGTAAGGATCCTGAATTACATTCTGAAAACTAATGTTAGGTACCTTACTCCTTGTAATGGAAACATAAATATTTGTTTTTCTACACAGGATACTTTCAGTCTTAAAAATTCCTCATCTAAGAGGTCAGTTTGGTGGTAGACCAAACCTCTAAGTGAACAGATTATATAAGTAATATAAAAAGACCTCTCTAAATGAACAGATTATATAAGTAATATAAAAAAAACATGAACTTGATTTATAAGGTCAGCTAGACATTTTTTCATTTTACAAATATTTATTGAGTAATTACTCTGTGCCAGATAGTCTAAATATTGGCATTTCTTTTTTAGGTGCTTGGCATTTATTGATAAAACAGATAAGATCTCTACTCTTGTGAAGCTTACATTCTGAGGGATGAGGGAAAGAAGGCAACAAACAAGTTTTAAAAATATATATGACCTGGGTGCAATAGCATAGACCTATAGTCTTAGCTATTCAGGAGGCTGAGGTGAAAGACTCTCTTGAGCCCAGCCTTTGCGATATAAATGAGTCTCTGATAAAAAGTATGGGCCAGTCGCAGTGGCTCACACCTGTAATGCCAGCATTTTGGGCGGCTGAGGCAGGTGGATCACAAGATCAGGAGTTCAAGACCAGCCTGGCCAGCATGGTAAAACCCC